CATTCCTTTGGTTTTGACCTCAATACCTTCCTCTATCCCAATAACTCTTAAATTTGGTCTCTTTATTCTATCCATATATCTTGAATGTTCTGCTTGTTGCTTCTTATCAGTCTCACTGTGATGTATACATTCTTTTCAAGATGACATACTTTGTCTTCATTGATGTTCTTTGTTCTAAGTGTTCTACTCTGTTGATGATACTCTCATTTGAGTTTTTAATTTTAATTTGGTTTATCATTTCTAGGATTTTTTTTTTTTTTTGTATAACATCTATCTTCCTGTAGAGGTGATCTTTTGCTTCCTGGATTTGTTTATGTAATTCATTGTTGAAGTGATCTTTCATTGTCTGCATTTGTTGTCTAATGTCTTTCCTGAGACTCCAGAACATCTGAACCATGAATATCCTGAAATCTTTATCTGACTTTCTTTCTGCTGTAGATGTTACCTCTTTTAATGTTGTATTGTATTGCATTGTTTGTGGTCCTTTCTTTCCTTGTCTTTTCATGCTGCTCATGTTTCTTTCCAGCTCTGTGAGTCTATTGTGTTATTGTTTTTCCCCTATAGATTTATATTGCACTTGTATAGTTCCAAAATCTCTCCTTTGTGGGGAAAGACAATGTTAACAGTTCCCAATATCAACAATCCATCGTCGATGAACAAGTTTTCATTATCAATACATTTATAGTTAGTCTCTATGCCTAGAGATGTTGGATTCAATCATTATTTTAAATATAGTCATTAGTTTCATAAAAGCCATACCATTTCTGATGGTGTACAGAGAACTGAAGGTCAGGCATAGGACATTATGTTAAAGGGGAAAGGTGTGAAGGTATGGAGTTAATCTATCTTAGCAACTTTGGAGGAAAACTCTAGTGAATAGACAGGAGATAGTTTAGGGGAGATAGGTTAGGGAAGAATGCATAAAATCAAACAACTATATGTATTTAGAAAATTACCTGAAGTATAAACAGTAAAAGTTAGGAGGTTGAAAATGGGAGAGAGGGTGTAAGAAAATTAAAAAGAAAAGAAAGAAAGAGAAAAAAGAGAGGGAGAAAGAAAATAAGAAAAAAGGGGGAGATTATGCAATTCCTCTATAATATATCATTCTGGTGATTCAGTTCTGAAAGTCCTATTTCATGCAAACTACTTGGTTTCACATATGTTGGGGTTGTAGTACCCAGTGGGGGAAGGGTAGAGGAGAATGGATGAGAAGAGAGAAAAAAAAAAAAAAACTCTTAGAATTCTGTTTTCTTTTCTTCCAGTAGGTCTCATTGTCTATTCCAAGCTTGTGTCTCTGCCCTCAGGTAACCAGTGTGAGAGGGCTTGGGCATCTTCCTGGAGCCTCCCTGCTCTTAGTCTCTCTTGAGTTGAAGTTGTACAGTTGCAGTTCCATGTTGATAGCCATGCCCCCCAACTCTCTGTACAGTTGCAGTTCCATGTTGATAGCCATGCCCCCCAAATAAATTTGAGAAAGGTTTTGAGTTATTACATCTGGGGGTGGGGCAATTGGAAACCAGGTACCTGACTAGCTGCAGAACTATGCTGGTAGCCATGCCCACCAAGAGATGGTGAGAAAGGTTTTCCAAGATGGATTCCGTCTGTTTCCTGGGTGTTTGGTGAGGTGGGGGGTGCTGGGGTGACCTTGTGCTGGGGCCAGAACTCAGTCTGGTGACCCATATGGGAGCGGAGCATAGTCTGGTGATCTACAGTTCTGTAGAAGTGCTGCTTGTGGTCACGTGTGTGTTCAGACTGTGGGCTTTGGGGCCAGAGTCTGGAGTCTGACCAGCAAGCAAAGCCTCTGCATTCCGTGTCACGCTTGCCGCTCCAGTGGAATCTGCAAAAGATTCCCTGTATGGTATCCTGTCACATGCTCTGAGATGTAGTTTTTCATTGAGGCAGGATCCTGTGGAGAAGCCTTTTGACTGTTTTCTCGGATTCGTGCGCAGAGCCACCAGAAGCAGTATCTCCTCTACTGCGCCATCTTTGCTCCTTGGTTTAGTTTTAAATGTGATCAATCCTTTTTCCCTTGAAGTTTTTACAATTCTATCCTTATTCTATAGGTTGCACATTTTTTAATAATGTTTCTAGGTATGGATGCATTGTGATTTTTGTATAATTTGATTCCTTTTGTCTCTTTTATTTGAATTTCTATCTCATTCTTAAGGTTTGAAAATTTTCCAATATTATTCATTGAAAAGATCATGAATCCCTTTATCCTTTATCTATCTCAATGAATCTTAAGTTTGGTGTTTTAATGATATCCCAGATTTCTTGAATATCATTTTTAGAATTTCTTTATCTTTACTGAAGTGATCTTTCACTTCCTGTATTTTACCCCCAATTTTGCTTTTTACATCTTTTTAGGTAATAGAACATTTTAACTATGAAGTTCCTAAATTATTTTTCTACATGTCCTCCGTGGTAGTGTCCATGGAGTCGGTTGTTGAAGCATTATTGGTTTGGGGTTGATTTGTTCGCTTGCTTTTTCATACCATTTCTGACTACCCATCTATTAGTATAGTTTTCACTTCTTTATTAATGGAGGGACTACTTGTGAGTTTCTTTCTCTTAAGACCCCTGTATTGATAGAATATCCAAATATTTATTTACTTTTTCAGTGTGTCACTTCTGCTTCTCCTAATATCAGCACCACTTTTTAAAATGCCAGTGAATCCTATTTACCATAATCTTTTCAGAGCCAAGTTAAATACTATTCACCTTATAAGAAATAAAACTTTTTGCTGTTTTTTCCACAGTTCCCCATATATACATGTAAACCTGTAATAAAGTTCTGGAATAGCTCAAAAAATAGTTAATAGTTATTAAATTTAGTACAATTAGTGTAACCTTAAAAGAGGAATAAGGGTATGGGAGAAAGATAGGCCAAAAATAATTTGAGAAAATATAGGATGTAAAAATAAAGAGAGAGAAAAAAGATGTAAAATATAATTCACACCCAGATACAAAGGCAAAATAGATGGATGATGAGTATGTAAGGTAGTATTAGATAATGCAAGAGAATGAATCAGGGATATGAAAAACAAGTATAAACCAGAGAAATGAAAACAAAGATAGGAAGATTGACACCAAATAATACTTTAAACCATTAGATAAAATACATTCAAATGGGTTGAAGGTACAGTGTTGGCTATTGGGGTCACTACTCTCATTCATGTTAACGAATTCTGTAAATTATCAAAGTTGATGTTAGAGTTATTTATAGTAAAACATGCCAAGGTAAAGAAAAATGATGCTGAATCTTGGTTTGGATTTCAGAGGGGTTTGGACCTGTAGCAGATGAACATCATTCCTTGGCTGTGGATCTCTCCTGAGTTACAGTGGTGTAGGAGCCACCTTTCACCAGTTACTTTTGTTTGCTGAGTGATTGAGTCAGGTTTACTTTGGGGCTGCTATTTTTTAACTGATTTTGTCTTTTTAGGAAAGTACTTTCTTTACTCTCTTATTTAGCTGCAAGCTGGCACTTCCATTAGTTTTTTGCTTAGATTTCCAGGGGAAATGTACAAAGTTGTTGGCTTCCTACAACCATAAAGTCTCATTGATTGAAATAATTTATTTTTTAGTTCTTTATGATGTGAACATAACAGAAACGTAAAAAAAATAGTTTGATTACTCTAATGATATGAACAATTACCTAATAATTAAAGTATTAATGCCACTGTATTAGTAATAATATCATTCACTTCAATTGCTCATTTTCCCCCTTTTCTCCCATACTAACATAAGAAAATAAGCACATTTCCTTACCTTACCAATATCAGTATCAGTGAAAAAATGGACAAGGTCTCTGTATTATCAACTGTTTTATGACTATATTTATATTCATTCACATTTCCATAATTGTTCCCAAAGGCCTTATTTATTGGTTTATAATAATTATAAAGAATAATAGATTTCATTGTGGTATATTTAGACATTTATATAATACTTTGAATTAGGTACCCAAATGTCTTTTATAGTACAATTGTTAATGGAAACCAATCAAGGGCCATAAGGAGCATTCAATAATGATGTTTAGAGACTCCAAATTCTAGATGTATTTTTTACTTCCTACCTCCCCCAGAGCTTCTTTATTCCCTTTCCACACATATACTGGTGAAAAGATTGGGCCAGTTGCCCTGTGAAATATACCCTCTTCTGGGATTTACTGAAAAGATGAATGAGCAATTCTGAGGTATGTTAACTTGTAGAAATAATTATTGTGAAAAAATTATGAAATTGAAAATATGTGAATATGGAATGATGGGTAGTATATGTTTCTTGCTCCAAGGTGATTCTCTTTTTTTTTTTTTCAATCCAATTGGGATCCTTTGTGGAGATGGTACATCTGTAGGAAGTTGTCACAACACTCTAAAAGATCATTATAAGTAGTGTCCTTTATATTTCCTCCTATTTTATTTGTTTGTTTGTTTATTTTTGGTACCAGGGATTGAACCCAAGGGTACTTAAACATTGAGCTATATCTCCAGTCCTTTTTTGATATTCTATTTAGAGACAGGGTCTCACTAAGTTGCTTAGGGCCTCACTAAGTTGCTTAGATCCTCACTAAATTGCTCAGGCTGGCTTTGTATTCATGAATTCCTGCCTCAGCCTCTCAAAGTACTGTGATTGCAGGCATGCTCCACTGAGAACAGGTCTTCTCCTATCTTAGTAGTCATTTCCCCATTTTATAGGCTTTTCTTTTCTTTCTTTTTTAGTGTTTAACTTACTCTCTTAAAACTGACTATTTGGTGAGGAATTCACAGGACTATTAAAAGAATGAGCTTCATATCAGGTGCAATCACTCGAGAACTTTGCACTGGGGCTCAGCTTCCACATGTGGTTAGAGTGAAACATCCCCCTTCTCCTAGGTGTCATTTACTTGCTGTTCAGAATAATGAGGAAAATTAGGTAAAGTGTCTCTAGCAGAACTGCTGGTGGTTAATTCACCAAAAGATAGTGATGATGAAAATTCGTGAAAATGATAATAATTTGTGTTTTAGGTAAAATCTAAAGGAGAAAGAAAAAGGACTAGTATAGGAATGGAGCTGGTCCTTGATCCTCTCATCTTGTTCCTGGATAGGCCCACAACTGGCTTAGATAGGAGAACAGCTAATGATGTCATCAGACTCCTAAAAAGGTAAATGCTATGGCAACATTACATTTCATCTGTTTACTATCTGATCACTTCCAGTTACCGGGTGCAGGAGATTCAGAAGCTAAAAAAATAGTGTTCTTTCTTTTTTAGCAAGTTACAGTTAATAAACAAGAAGTGTATCAAGAATGATGAAAAAATACATAGGGAAGTAAGGTCATGGTGAGGGCAGGGAGCTGTTTTAAACAGGAAGGTCAGAGAAGACCACAAGCATGTTACGCCTGAGTTGGGAGAGAGTGAGATGTGCTATAAATCAGAAGAGGGTTCTGGTTGGAAGAAGCAGCCAGTGGCCCTGAGATAGAGCATGTCTTATGTGTGTGGAATATCAGCAAGGCCAGAAGGACAGACCCAGAGACTGAGGGGAGTGGAGGTTGCCTGATGAACTGTCACAACAATGCTACAGATTGGGGGCTCAACAACAAAAAATTTTCTTATATCTCTGGAGACAGAAAGTTGAAACTAATGTGTCTTCTGGTCATTTCTTCATTAGTTTGTAAATGGCACCTTCTCCCTTATGTGTCTGTGTCCTAATCTCCTCCTAACTGTACGTAGTCAGATGAGAACCCCCTGATGATCTCATTTAAACTTAAAGACCTCCTTGATGGTGCTATGTCCAATGTGGTTGCATTCTAAGGCACTGGGGAATAGAACTTCAACATCTGAGTTTGGGGAGGACACAGATCAGCCAATGAAATGTGTTTAGGATGTGAGGTGAAGTTGGGCTGATGGCAGATTTCATAGATCTCATAGACGATCAAAGAAATATGGCTTCTTCTGTCACTAGGGGACATAGTGATATTTTGAGAGTTTTAGAGCACAGCAATGGCTGTGGGGAAGACTGTGCAGTTAGGCAAGGATGAGAGAAGACCCAGTGAAGGAGCTGCTGAGCTTCAACCAGAATGGTCATGGTGAGCAGAAGGTGGTTTCTGTTTTCAAGGGAACCAATAGGATCAGGTCAGTATTTGCACCTGGGATGGGAGGATTAAGACAATGACTGCTGAGATTTGGGGCTTGAAGAAGTGGAAGAATGAAATTAAATAAATGGGATTTCCTTTATCAAGAAAGAAAAATGGCCAGGTGGGGTGCCGCACACCTATAATCCCAGCAGCTCTGGAGGCTGAGGCAGGAGGATCACACATTAAAATCCAGCATCAGCAAAAGCAAGACTCCAAGCACTCAGTGACATCTTGTCTCTAAATAAAATACAAAATAGGGCTGGGGATGTGGCTCAGTGGTTGAGTGCACCTGTACTCAATCCCTGCCCCCTCTCCCCACAAAAAAAGAAAGAAAGAAAGGAAAGAAGGAAGGAAGGAAGGTGGGAAGGGATGTTTATAGGAAATTTTTCAATAGTTGAGATTTATACAACATCTTTAAAAATATAAACATATTTCAAACTGACAGAAAGTATCTAAGAACAATACAGATGAAATCCTACTCTTCTCACCTGGATTCCCCTCTGTTACTTTTCATTCCATATGCAGCCCCTCCTTTCTTCTCTGCTGTTTCCCACATAGGCTTTTCTGCCATCATGTGCTACTACAACCTCCAATCAGGGAGGACATGCCATCATCTGCACTCCACAGTTCACTCCACAGATATTGCTTTGCCAATATCCAATCAGGGCTACTCAGATTTCCCCAGTTCTCCCTAGTGTCTCTGTTTCCTGCCTTTTTGGGATCCTCTACAGAAATATATTTTTCCTGTCTTTTTTCAATCTGAAAAGTTAATGGCACACTGCAGGGTTTATCCCAGTGTGTGTTGTATGAGCTGACTCAGGCATGAAAGGATGCTGAGTTCTCAGTGAAACACACCTGGGCATGCAACCTACACAGCCTTTATCATCTAATTGTGGTGCACATATATGTATACATAGATGCTTCCTAAAAATACATGCATGAGCAGAGATATATCTATATTTATTGCTATTTCTGTTATTGAATACATTGAAAAGCCCAGGAACTCATAACAATATTTCTGATGCCAATCTGACACCTCTGTCTTACTTTTAGTCTTTGCTATTTTCACATTTGTAAGTGTCTTCAGACATGGAGATATTCAACTCCCATTATCTCAAAATATGCACTTACTTTCTTATGCAGTAATTTATTTGTTTAAGGAAGCCAGTCTCCCAGTAGCTATGGTCTCTCCCTTTGTCCACCACCTCTAGAAACTCCTCTGCCCCATTGTTTTAAGCTGCCAATCACACTACTTTCATGGCCTCCCTTCTGTCACAACCTTGCTTCCTCTGATGCCCATGACTCTTTGAGGAAGTCTCTATGCTACAAGAGAGGAAACAACAAGAACTGAAGATATGTATGGGTTTAAACTTCTTAAGTTTAAGATGTCATTTACACGTATAAGTGAAGATGCCAAGACATGGTTCTGGAGTTCAGGCCCCATTACAAAACATATGTAGGATATTTTTATTCACAGACATTTTCTTTGTGGGTTGCTCTGCTTAGCACACAGTCCTCTTTCCTCATGCCCAGAGCTTTGGTCAGTCCTTCCCGAGCACTGCTGAGCATACTCATCACTTGGGGACTTGTTGAAATGCAGATCCTGTTTCTCTAGGTTCCTGGAAGGAATCAAAGTTCTCTACAGTAGTTTTAAAGAATTACTGACATTGATTCAGTTAGTCCTCAGGCCCCACTTTGAGTGTTAGAACTCTCAGGTATCCCATGTCCATCTTCCAGTCCTTTCTCAGCTTCTTATTGTCAGTTGAATAATTTCCAGTTTCTTTTGGAAGGGTTCAAAATGGTCCTCTTTGGTCCTCTCTATTAGTTATCTTCTTCACCCAAAACAACAGCAACACAAGCACACACATAGACACTGCTTGTTGTGTTACACAGAAACGCTTCTTATTGTTTTGAATTTTAGACCTGTTCATTTCACACTTTGTTCACCTTGTATCTCTTTTCTTAGTTCACTATCATTGGGAATTTGGATATTCTACTTTTATCACCTCCAGAATGGGTTATCACTTTCTCTTTTTTGTTTATAAGGAGCCATTAACTTCTTCGAATCCAATCATATTGAAATTATAGACCTTATCTCTTGTTTCTTTTTGAGGAAGATCATCTTTGGATATATTAGATATACTAGGTGCTTATCAAATTCTTAAATTGAAGTGATTCTTCTCATAAAATATTTACAAAAAAGTTTGGGAAAGTTTTTTTTTTTTCTGCCTTTGTTTCTTATACCCATAAGTAATAATTCCTATAACAGGTAGGTGAGAAATGTTTCTACTATAAAATCAAACCAGACTCAGATTCCAGCCTTGCTATTTAGTAACTGTGAGCCATTGGTTAATTACTTGACCTTTAAACTTTATATGTCAAAAGAAGAAAATACTAATATTATAATAGCCTTGTGAAAATTCAATTTATCTCTAAAACATATAGCTAAGTGCTAAATAACATTCAAAGTGCTTAACAGTATTAATGTATTACTAAGGTAGGATGAAAAGCAATTACTAAAGATCCAGGATACTTAAATGATCAATGAAAATTTGTATATGAACATCCTTTTAATACTTCATTGATAACTAGTTTCAAAAGTGAGTATACTCAAAGATAATCTAAGATACTTGTTAATAATATGGACTCTCTATTCCAACCACCAGAGATTGTATACCAATTTCCCTGAATTTACTGTCTTGGAAAACTCTCTAGGAAACTGCATTTTCACCAATTTCTAGTCAATTCTAGACTGCTAAACCAATAAACTTTAAGATTCTTTAGTCTTTTAATAAAAGCATTGAATTTAAATATTCTCAACTACCATGTATGTAATGAGTTGAGATGAGAAATTTGTAAGAGAAAATCAAGTTGAACTGAGAGAAAACGCTCTACTGGCAGAAATAAGTATTTTACAAAATATTGCAAGGTTCAGATATTTTGGATGGAGGATACTGGGGATTGAACTCAGGGACACTTGACCACTGAGCCACTACCCCAGCCCTATTTTGTATTTTATTTAGAGACAGGTTCTCACTGAGTGCATAGTTCTTGCTTTTTCTGTGGCTGGCTTTGAACTTTGATCCTCCTGCCTCAGCCGCCTGAGCCACTGGGATTATAGTCGTGCACCACCTTACCAGCAAGGTTCAGATAATTAATGATTTATTATTTTCCTTTTTCACTTAGGATTTCTGAGCAGGGACGCACGATCATCTTCTCCATCCATCTGCCTCGCTATTCCATCTTCCAGCTGTTTGACAGCCTCACCATACCGGCCTCAGGAGAACTAATGTATCACGGTCCGGCCCAAAGGACTTTAGAGTACTTTGAGTCTGCAGGTGCGGTTAAACATTTTATGCCCTAGATCCTTCATTCATAGACTCCTGGCAGAGCACAGGAGTCCCCAGGAGTGCTACAGGAATGCTCTTTGATCTTGCATAGACTTAACTGGGGTGCCTCCACTCTAAAACATCTTTGGTCAGTTCAATGCCAGAATTCTTTTTCATTTTGCAGCATTTGCTTGTTTTTCAGGTCTCTTCCCTTTTCCTGTCTTATTTGAATATGCATGGTGTGTGTGTGTGTGTGTGTGTGTGTGTGTGTGTGTGTGTGTTTCATGGGACTTTTTTCTCCTTTTCAGTTATGTTGACCTTTCCCTGAAAGTTCAGTAATTAACATGTTGGACTCACACTTAGTATTCTGTCAGTTGAACTTTTTTGAAAAGTTGCCTTTTAAAACATGTAACAGATTGTGATATTACAGTGTTTCCCCTGGCACATAATCTTGCTCTGCCTTCTTCAGGGCTCATGGAAATGTTTCTTAGAAACATTAAATTGAATATTTAAGTTTTGAATGGTTGGCCCTGAATCTGATATAATGGGCCAAAATTTCTGGTCTGTCTGGTTCTTTCTATTTCAGACTGAGTACTCTGATTTCTTTAATGGTTTACCTTTCTGCTTCACTTTCAGGGGTTTGTGGATATGATTATAGATGTTTATCCACGACCCCAAATGAAGTTGTAAATAATCATTCCTTCTTAATTTGTTTTTATTAAACATCTGTCACTTAAAAAAACATCAGACACATGAGAGTTGGGAATCCAGGGAAGATGAACTAAAGAGTCAGAGCTCAGGCCAAATTTAGATGTTGAGGTGAGAGGTCAGGTGTGCTGTGCTGGTCATGTCTCTCGATAATGCTTCTCTGGGAATTTGTTGTCTATTTGAAATTATGGCAGCTTGAGAGATGATCATTTGGAACTCTGAAATTAGTAGGTTGCAAAGCAACATCTGCTAACATACCTACTGCTGTTCCAGTATTCTCTAGGTGAACTGAGAGAGCACAGTTCACCAGAAACTTAATATCCTTTCTAGGCTCTACATTTAGATTTTTGAAGAAGTACTAATAAACAGTAGAGCATATTGATAGCTGCTTGGATTTTGAATTTTTATGAGAGGTAAACACTAATGTAAGATGTTCTGAAGAGTCCAAGAATAGTTTGGAATACGTTTTTTTTTTTTTGTTTTATTTATTTTTTTGCCTGAGAGAGACAGTTGTTGAAATGTTATGTGATTGAATAAAGAAGAGGAAAGGATAAATTAGAGAGGGCAGAAGAGAGCAAGAAGATGAGGAAAAAGTTGTTCAGTCTGCCTTCCCTACCCCTCACCTCCAGCATCCTCTGCATGTGAGTCTTCTTTACCTTCCAAGACTATCAGCTTGAGTTCTTGGGGTATCTTATTTTGTAGGTTTTCCCTGTGAATTCTACACTAATCCTGCAGAAATATTCCTGGACTTCTTTCATGGTGTAATAAAGAGAGAGTCAGAAGAACATGAAGGTATGTGAACCTTTCACATTTTCACATTTTTGCCCGAGATTTAGCAATGAGGTGATTCATGAAAACATGATCTTGTGAATTTACATGTTAATGTGATGAGCAAATAGACATTGTCAGTGAGTGCTTTGGGCATTTTTATTTGTGAATGTACATGCTAATTCCTTTTTGTACTCAAGCTTCAAAATATAGGAGTTGTACAAATAAACGGTCAAGAGAAAACTTGTGAAATCAGGAGTAATTTGTTTATAATGAGTTAGTACTCTATGCAGTAATCTGTGACCT